GATCTATTTTTATATATATATACTATTTTTATATATATATGAGAGAGAGAGAACTGCTTTACAAAAAGAAAAAGCACACACCATGCATTTATATAGTACAATGGTGGCACTTATTAAATAATACACAACAATTATCCAGTCGTGTACTAATAAAATAAATGATGAATTATGATGAATTTAAATGGATATACACACACTTTGAGTGAAAATCCTCAACTCCTTTAGTAAGTCAGCCTTACTGTTTTGCATTTCAATGTATTTTCCATGAGCACATTACCAAAGTGTACGCACATTGTTTATATTACACTTGTACAGTAGCCACCCCTCCAAGATTGCTTTTGTGATCCGCTTACAACACACACAGGGCCATGGGGGAACAAAAGTAGCCACCCTCCAGAAGGAAGGACAGTGTCAGCACCAATTCAGAGATGATTTGAGGATCTACAGCCGACTGATACACAAATAAGATACATTTTTGTTAATCGTTAAGGTACTTGAATGCATTTTTAAGATTTAACTCCTGATATTATTGTCACTTTAAATAGAAAATATTATTGAAGTAAAATCCAGTCTTGTGAGCCAGACTTTACTATGCAATGCATAGTAGTCCAGGGCTGGACAAATCCAGGAGTCAGATAGCCAATGCTACTTAAAAATGAAACCTGGCATCAAACTTTTTCAGTTTTCTCTAATTGTTGTCAATGGCGCTGGCTCCTAAAAAATCCTGCTGGCTCCAGGATTGGACAGACTAGCTCCTGAATTCCAAAATAATTTGTCCACTCCTATTATATGTGAGAAATACTGAAGATACATATTCTGCACTGCTCTGCTATCCAAACACTGCTAGAGCCGTTTGACTGCATGGCATAGAAGACTCTGTAAACATAGTTAAAATGTGAGACACACACACTGCATTAAAACATACTGAAGGGAATTTATCAAAAGCTTCTCTTTTTCATTTTCAAATCTTAACTGAGCAAACTGAAAAGATAAGCTGATTGGTTGCTATGCACAGCTGCTCCAGTTTTGATAAATTCCCCTCGCTGTATCTATCAAACACTTAGAATCCACTGATTCGGCCACAAAAGTAACCACCCTCCAGAGAGAAGGACAGTGTCGGCACCAATTCAGAGATGATTTGAAGATCTACAGCTGGGTGATACACAAATAAGATACATTTTGTGCTAATAAGTAAGGTACTTGAATGCATTTTTAAGATTTAACTCCTGAGGTTAATGTCACTTAAATGAAATCTTCTCCACATGTTTGCATGGGTTTCCGAAGAGTAGATTTTTTTTTTTTCTTTTTACATTCCAAAAAATACGCTGTTATGTTAACCGATTTCTTCCCAATAGTGACCCTATATTGTGTGCATCTGTATTGACATGTGATATGATTGTGAAGTGCACTGAGCCAGCAACTCGTATAACTGGTTGTTGTCCACTAATATGCACTGTTTATGTGTTATTGAAATAAAAAGGAAAGGTATATGTGTAACTTTTTGTTTCTTGTAGGAGCCTTCCAGTTGCAAGAAAAGGCACAGTGTCCAGTGCACTTTACATGGCTTGGATAGAGGCGCTTTCTAAAGATCTCCCACCGATCCTACTTGTCCGTGGAAATCACCAGAGTGTCTTAACATTCTATTCCTAAGTGCTGCCAGCTGCAGAGCCTGAAGTGGTACTTCGGCGGCTGGAGCGCTAAGTATCATTGCATTCTCTGAACCCTAGAATGTCTTTCTCAATTAAAGAGACTTGAAGGCTCACAGAAGAAAGTAACTAATTCCAGGCTTGAGAAAATTTTGCAGTTGCACTGCTTCTGTTACATGACCGGTGGATCTTGGCTTCATAAGGGAGATTCCTATGTATGGGACTCAAATACATGGAAGTTTATTTCTTTGCTACTTGAACAGCAGCAATAAAAGTGTGTTTGTTTTTATTTTGACCAGTGAAAGGATTCTAGATTTGTAAAAAAGAAAAAACAACAACAAAAAAAGCCTTTAGCCTTGAGGTGCCTTTTTGAAAATTAACCAAACGTCATCCATACCCCCATTTATTTTTTTTATATAAATCTTGTATAGAATGTACAATCTGCCTTTCAGCTAGGACTTTAGATCAAAAAAACCTTTTTAGTTTCTAGTTTCTTCCATCTTCACAATAACTTATGCTGCTTCTCCGTCTTCCATCAAGCTCTTAACACCTCACCACACCTCATTAAACAAAAAAATGTTTAATGTCTGTTAGAAAAACAATAAACAGTAACCAGATTGGTGTATTTGAACAAATGACCAGGTTGTTCTTATCCAGTCATTAAGCTCCAGCATGGTAAATCCCAGCACCTACAGTAGCGGGAACAACACTTGTTAGGCTTACTCAGTACAGCAATGCAAGTAGCAAACTGTGTTCCGGTGCCAACAGCAACCAATGAAAATCCATATTGTACTATACAGATTCCAACAAAGTGAGTTCTGATTGGTTGCTTTGGAATAATTCTCACTTTGCTTCTTGCAATTGCCATGAATAAGGTCACTTGTGTGGGCTGCAAATATATAATATAATTATTTGTCTGCCTCTGTTACTCTGGTTTTGTCATATTTTCATGCAAGACGTATTACTCTTAATGATCAGCAAAAAAAACAAAAACATTTTTGATCTGACACAAGGATTTATAACATAAATATGACAAGTCTCTGGAAACTATAATTAGTTGCTATGGACAACCCAGACACGTCTTTGAATACGTGGATCCTATAGGAGTCTTTTTTTTTTCTGTTTAAGCATTATAGTACCTACTGCTTGTTTAGTCATACTACTTGGTCTAACAGATCAGACTTAATAAGTTAGTTAGACTCTTTCTTGAAAATGTCTTGCCCCTTAATGACCAATGTGGCTTAGATTCAAAATGTTGTTTTATAACTCAGGTTTGCTCACCCATGACATCCAGAAGTTGATTTGTTATTGAAGCCAGCCCCTTCCCTTCATTACTCAGTTATTTTATGCTTGGAACCTGTATCAGTTCCCTAGAAAAGATCATTTATTTACTTTGCACACGCGTCTGTCTTTCACTTATGTCACGTATGTTTTAGTTGTTAGGTCCAGGTGAAAAAATGGCTTCCACGGCTGATATATAGACCAGTATGGCCTGAGAAGTATTTTACTCCTCATAGATGTCTCATTTCATAAATGACAAGAATATAAGCTTTAGTGGGTTTTTTTTTGTTTTGTTTTTTTCTTTTCATTATTCAAGTCGGTTGAAACGCACAGTATCCTAGCCTATTTGGCAAATGACTGTATTCCTACTTTCAGTAATGTCGGAAATTGAGCGCAGCGTTGTACGTTTAAGTTGCAGTGTTGTATATTTTTTACCCATGGGTGTCCATGATTAACCCCATAATATGTTCTATTTAAAGTGCAATAGCATTTATTTGGGAAAGATATGGGACAACGGTTCTCGGCCCTTTCTTGGCAACCGAGCTGAGATTAGAGTTTCCTCTTAAGTGCAGGACCAGCTTCTTGGCACCACAAAATTGCTAATTCCCTGCTTTGTTATGGTCTCTAGGGTTTTGGAACTCTGCATGTTGGCCTTGAAAGTGGAAGGACTGTCAGTCCTGTAAGATGTCATTAATCAAAATATTGTTCAGCTACATTTGCTTAAAAAATTGAAGTTTGACTCGTGTAGACTTAAGTATAAAACATTTTTTATGTTAATCAATTACTCAATAAAATGTTTTGTAATGAAGAAGTGCTCTTGTTGCCTATAGTAACCAATTCAATTTCAACTGTCAGTGTTCTGGTGTAGATTTGAAATCAAAATATTGAGTTGGTTGCCCTGGGCAATGTGAACGTGCTAGAACACTTTTGAACCAATGTTTGTAATTTGACATTTAGAACAGTTGGAACGATCCTCCCAAACCCTCCAGTGTACCTGCCCATATCACCAGGCTGAAACTGAGCAGAACATGATCTGGTTTAGTAATGGAAAAGGGAGGTGGGGGTGTCACTAGAGGGGGAAGGCTTATTTAAGTAGGCACGTTATTGTTGCATTTGCCTACCTCAAGGAATGACTGTGGGTGGCTAGTCCAAAGGACATTCCATTTCATTTCATACTGTAAACTGTAGAGAATCTATAAAGATTTCTTTTATTTTAGAGTCCAGAGTTAAGCAAAAATAACCATTCTGCTTAATGTTGGAGGTTATCCTCTAAACCAGGGTAGGCAACCTCGGCACTCCAGCAGTAGTGAAACTACAAATACTGTGAGGGACTGCAAGACTTTGACAGCCATGACTCCTCCTAGAGGCAGAGGCAAAATGGGGATTGGAGTTGACCACAACTGGGGTACCAAGGTTGCCTACCCCTGCTCTAAACCTATTGATGTTTCCAAATCTGTTAATTGTTTCAAAATTAATTTGAAACAGCAGCAGTATTTGCCACATGACATACTTGGTGTATATCACAGTGTCTGCCGGAGATTGGTTCTAATGTAAAACCATGTTGGTAATAGATAGATAGATGGCAGCCAGACACACCTGCATGATCTGACCATTAAACAGTTAGTTTTTTGGGGCTGTTTTATATATAAGCACACTCATATAGCACCAGCAGACAGCCCTGGCATCAGGGAACGCCAGCTATGCAGTGCAGCCTATAGACACTTCCGGAGATCATTTAAGCAAGAATGTTCGCTGAGGTTAGACGGCATTTACAACATTGAAAGAGCAACCTGATCCTGCTGAAATTGTAAGGACAGGGCAATGATTATCTTATGTGTATGTGTGCCTTTCCTCATCATCAAATAAGCTGTATGGTGTAGAAAGTTTGGTTCTTACTGTAAAAGTTCCTGTACTTTCCTTCTCAGACAAACAAGTTTTTGGAATTGGGTAAATGCTTTCAGCTTTCTTGCAGTGTTTATGTTGATTACATGTACTGATAACCAGAAATAGAATCCAAGTAGTTCAGCAGCCCCAACGATTTTAAACGCAGACAATGCTGGTGATGCGGGTTCTGTGTACAGTATGCAATTTTACAACTGCTATAATACCCCTTTATATTTTCCACCACACATTGTCTTGTATAAATATGGTAAAATGTACAAGTAATTACAGTGTTTATAGACTATGCATGTCACTATGTAGTGATATATTGTGTTTGTGGTTGGTTGTAAATACTCCACAGCTATATTTGTGTGCGTATAGCATAATGACATACACTTTTGGGATATTACATGAATGTGAATCCATCTAATATGTAGTGATTTGAGATAGAAGTAGGTGAAATATATTTAATCTTAATTTAAAGTTAATGGTTTAGTTGTTTTTTTTTTACACCCCCTATAAAGTATGAAAGTTTTCCCCTCTCATTTTTGTTGCATTAAAGTCCATTTCCACCTTTGTAAGTGATTAGCATTTATTGTGGTGATGTAGAGGTGCAGTGATGATGTATACATGTGCACATTTTTTATGAAAGTTTTATTAGGCCTGAAGCCTAAAAATGCAAAACGTACTCCACAGGAAATTCAGTCAGACACTAGGGTTGGATGGTAAGTTGGCTGTAATCAGCTGCCCCCTCCCTGTCACCTATTGTAACATGATCAGTAAACACTAGCTCTGCCTTTACAAGCAATACACTGTCCGGGGGGGTTATTTTCACATTGATTGCACATCACACAGGCAGACATTTCCATGTGCATATAAAGAGGAAAGCTTAAAAAAAGTGTACATTGCTGGCACATGTTTTTTTTTTAAATTCCTCTGCAAAGGTGGAAATAGGCTTTAATCCTCAATTTAGAACAACATTGAAGAACAATAAAAATTGGCATATTTGTGACTATGGGCATGGTGCAGTAACTTCTAGCAAGCGACCACAGTTTATATTATTGTAGTCCTAGTAGTTGAGATAATTGGTTGCTGTAAGTTAGGGTACTTGGCCCATAGTTATAACACTTTGTGCTGCTTTATTAAACCTGGATGTCTTAGATGAAAGAAATGGGAGAGGTTTTCAGGTTGTGGGTTTGTGTGAATATTCTTGTATTGCATAGTGAACATGTTTCATTTAAAGAAGGAATATCTAGTAGTCACTGAAGACTTATTTATATCATGACCTAATACCAGCTGTACTTTAGATCTGCCACATATACATGTAAGCAGGTGAATAAAGCTTCCAAATGTTGCCAATGTGTTATCTTCAGAATAACAGAAATTGAAAGGGTTTGACATTTTGCAATGTCACAACTGAAATCTCCAGGTGTTGGATATATATCCAATGATCTCTAAGGTTTCCTTACAGTACAAAATCCTTCCAAAACTCCTCATTAAGGGTCTCTCTTTCTATATCTAATATTGTAATGAGCGAAGAGATTTCCAGAAAGCATCCGCTTCTTATTAGCAGGTATTTAGATGAACTGCTGCTTTCAACCTGTTTTGAAGATGTAGAGAACCTCTTGAGCTTTTATTCACCTACGTTTGTCTGAGTGCACCAATCACTGGACTAAACTGTGTCTTAGGTGGGGTCTTTATAAAATCTATTACAGAGATTGAATAAACCTGCTGATTTCTTCGTTTTAGTGCTGCTACCTTGTGTTTGTTACCAGGTACTCTTGGCATTTATGTGCCTCATTTTATTCCTGAAAGCTTGACAGCAGAGGTATTCGATTGGTTTTGTCAAGTTTGCTGTCCCATTCACAGCTCTTCTCTGATGCATTCAGGAATACAGTTGTGCTTCATCGCAGTGATGCTCAACCTTCTGTAGCTAGGGGCCCCAATTGTCATAATGAGACATACAACTACATTGCATATCCAAATATGAGTCCCTAAAACCCTTTGTTGGATGCCCTGTGGGGCACCTGCTGACAGGTGGTTGTGCATCTCTGCTGTCTAAAGCCGTTCGAGAACCTGTCGGTTAATATTTAAAGAAGAAACCAAAATACATGTGTATGTACATATTGATGTGATAAGAGCTTATCTATATATACATATATATATATACATATATATATATATGTATATATATTTATAAGCAAATGTCTACAAATGCAAACTTTGGGCTAGGGTCGGTCTGTTTTTTGCTTAGAATTGCTCAGTGCACTTTCACTTAGTACATTTCCAAGACTTTTGGACACCTTAACA